CCCCCCCCCCCCACCCCCCCCCCCACCCCCCCCCCCCCCCCGGCCCCGCCCGCGCTGTGGCCGAAATTTCTACCTATATATATCTCAGCACTCCTTTCAGATCGTGTTTCACAAAATCTATTTCAATCTCGAAAAAAAGGATGATGATGCTCAGAAAAAAACGGTCCTCTCGAAAAACGGAACTTAATCTCTCCAAGGCTCCCATAAACAATGAGCAAGCATCCTTTCTAGTAGAATTCTTCCCTTAAACTTTGCTGTCACTGAGACTGGTTCTGGACTGCCACATATCTCAGATATCGTGAAGTTGACAACCTTCGAGAGAAGCCGCTGATGCATCTCCTTATGGATATGCGACATCTCCCTTGCAGAAGTGAAAACGTAATACACCACATCTCCCCAAGTAGCATGAACTCGTGTGATATCTAGCATCTACAACTTCTCCAGGCGCTTCTCATCGTCTCCGATTTCTAGGATGTGTGAAACGGTGTTGGGGCCTATAGTGCGAGCTCATAACAAGATGATATATGCATTTTCGGTAGACTCAATTTTCACTTATTCATGAGCTGTGCCAGGAAAGGGGGGGGGGCTTATTTTCGAAGAAAATGAAAGTGGACAAAAGTCGTGAAAATTTCTGTGAATCCACCTGTTTTCGAGCGCTGGTTTTAAATACCGTATTATATCTGTTGATTTGTTGGATTTTCTGATTCGAATCGGCAAAACAGAAAAGAAAACAGGCATTAAAACGTGTATGTCGGTTGATGCCTGTGGAATCCTTTTTCTGGTCGATGTTTTTCTTTCGATGGATGCCTATCGATTCGTAGTGCCTAAAAGCCGTTATCGAGTCATGCCAAAGCCAGAGTCGTGGACTGTTAGCATGGATAGGTCGTCTCTGTATCCAATGCAAATGATAACCCATGATTTACATACATTATAGATGTATGGCCTATATAAACTTGTATCGATCACTATTTCTCTTGACTGTTCACATGCAATCTTGCAGCCCTTTTGAAACCCTATCAAACGATGCTAATACTGGCTCGACTGATCACGTTCTTGTATGAGAAAAACCTAATTAGCATGGACGTATGAACTCGATTTGCATGCAACATTTATGCACTCATTTGACAGAACCAGTCTCAGTGAAAGCAAAGTTTAAAGGAAGAATTCTACTAGAAACGATGCTTGATCATTATTTATAGGTGTGTTAAACAGATTAAATCAGGTTTTTCGAAAGCTCAAATTTCTCTTAAACATGACTACTCAACTTTATAATTAATGCCTAATCGATTTGCTTACGTCTGTAAGGAGTGGGGGCGTTGCTTTGCTGGTGAGTCTAATGAGGATAGAGACTGTTTGCTAAGGTTCTTAATGATAGCTCTATCTGGTTGCTTGTGCCTGTAATTGTAGCCCCCTGTGTTGCTAGCTTCTGTAATGAGCACGCCTTGCATTTCGTGAAACAAGACGTAAAAGGGGTGTTAAAGTGTATAGGGTAGAAATTTGAACCCATCCACTACTTCCCACCTTCCAGAACCTGACAGACGCCCCAGAAAAACATCATAGGCCAATACAGGTGACTTCGAAGGACGATCGCAGACCCTGGCAGAAAATCTTCAGAGAACATCACAGACCGTTGTAACGATTTTGGATAGAAGAAATATTCGTGCACATGAAATTACGCTTTATTTTGTTATTCATATCATTTATCGCATCGATAACATTTAATGGCCGCACTTCACTACTCAACTATTACAGAGAACGAAAGGGAATCGAAGATAGCGGCAACTATCTGCGTACAATCTAAAAGAAACATTTCTACAGAACCTGTATCTAGGATAAGAACCTTTGGGGTTTTGTAGTTTTACAGAACCTAAAAAGGTTTAGTAGATAAAGATCTGAGTTTTTTCAGATTCTGTAAAACTGTGCAAAACCCCAAAGGTTCTTATCCTGGATACAGGTGCTGTAGAAAACCTTTTTTTAGGGTGTAGGATATCAAAATAAGGACAAAAGGAATCGGACGATGTCTAAGATAAAAAGATACAGCTAAGAAGCGCAAAACATCATCCATACAATTCGCTCGGGAAGAACATTACAGCAATGATAAGCGGCCATCAGAGATCATCGGAGACTTATAGAGGACCTTCGGGGGTACCACAGTCTATGAAATACGGTCTTAGAGGCTAGTACAGATCATCACAGGCAGTGAAAGATGAGCTGTCGCACAAAATCAACAAAAAATCCATTGTATATAACATTTCCATGTGATTACCAGCAGTGCCTATATCGTGTTTCACATTTTTAATCCCAGAGGGATTGTGCTGAAACTTTTTTAATAGTGCCTAATTCAAAAAAAGGAAGATATGGTAACCTGATTAATTCAGTTGCTAATGAGCAGAATGTTACAGTCATTAGTTTCTATAATCAGGAGGAGAGGAAGATCACAAAAATCTCACTTTTCAACTTACACGGCCCTTTTTCTTCAAAAATACATGCAAGGTCCACAAAAATGAGTCGATCACTCTATATCTTTTTTTACTTAAATCGGCAGACACGCGACGCATGACGTCAAATGACTTTTACCATGATAAGTTGTTCGGTTATATCTTCGAATGATAGCCATGAATCGATGAGATTGTTTTGTCAAACATGTATCTGAATGTTCTCTAGCGCCCGTGTCTACTCGTATTCAATTTAAGACTAGATGATGTGTATTTCCCATTCACTATGATGATAGCTTTGCTGTGAGAGAACGCATCACTCAATTGAGGAATTTCAGTCTTCTTTAACTTTCGATTCTTTAATTTTTCGTCAAACATCGAAGTCCATGAAGATTTTGCAAACTAGCCAACTTTCCAGACTTCTTCATAAGAATAGCTTCTACCGAAAAATAAGATTGAAAAATGCTTATTCAAATCTGCAAGTTTATAATTGGCTACATTTTCGATATAAATAATTACTCTTTTACTTTTACTAAGCGATTTTGAACAATACATGCATGTCAGCATGGAGTGGTTCTAGAACTGTTCTGCTTTATCTCTCAAATTCAACGGCATTTTCTTATACACTCTTTCAATATACATTTGTTGCCACAATGATCAGTACAACACTGGCATTTGCTCTCCGTCAAGACCCTAGCTATTGGTGTCTCAATGATATTTCTGTCATCGGCAATGGACAACAGATTTGGCAAGATGGTGGTTTTGAAACGAGTCCGTTGACTCAGTACCACACTTACTGCAATCCGAACGCGGCTGCAGCTAGCGGTGTCATATCGGCGACGTGCGCTCATTCGGGCCATTACAGTTTCTACGATGGTTCTGTAAGATATTCAGATTATCTTAGTCAATCGTTCACAACGGTGGTCGGCCAAAGCTACAGCATCAGTTTTTGGCTTGAAAATCGGGGTGGTCCTATAAACAGTTTTATCGCTATCATTACCACATAAACCATGCACTCAAAGTTCCATTTCTGAAAAATATATTTCTTGACTTATGTAACAATTATCAAATTCTACTACTTTCTCTTCACACTCGGTGGGCCATAAATAATGATGCCATGAGTGCTTTGTGAATATCATCGCAAATTCTAATCGTTCACACATGTGATTTTTTTCAAAAGAATTCTCGTGCAATGCTTCATAAGGCTTCATCAAAAGTTTAACTATACGCTCGATTCAGTTATATCAGTCTTATTTTCCCTAGACGGAAAAGATAGGGCTTAAATACCGAAATTCACCTGTGCCTGTCCGCTTGACTGTATCACCCATATCAAGTGATTATTATGGTATAAATGGAGGAGAATGAACAATTGCAGAACTTTTTCCCTCTAGTTTCAAGTCTTTTGGTTGATTGACGAAGGTCGAATCGGTATATAAAAAAGGGTCAAATAGTTTCTCATAGGAGTTGGAATTTTTTTTGTAGAACAGCTATCTACAAGCTTTTACTATTCAACAAATTTTTGTATGCAATCGTAGTTCTATTTTTCTACCATGGTATTTATATCCAATTGATAAGAAATGCGTACTTACCCATGTCGCACAAACCAATCGGAAACCGTCGGTTAACCGCGGTTAATTTTTATAAAAATCGGTTGACCGCGGTTATCTAGGCCATTTTAGCGACTTTCCAGCGTAAAAATCGGCGGTTAGGTGCCCGGTTAACCGGACAAGTAGTCGGTTCATCCTCTATTAACCGGTTATTTATTCGGTTAACCGGGCGCTTAGCCGACGGTTTTCGATCGGTTTGTGCGACATGGGCAGTCAGCAAGGGGGAAACATCGTAATTTTGTACTTTAAGTACTTTGAGGTACTTTGAAATACTTTTGTACTTAGTTGTGTAGTTCAAAGTAGAAAAGTACGTCGTTTTACCCTTTGATAGGTTTTCATTCAGACACTAGAACATGTCCAATGGTATTGAATCTGCCTCCTACCCAGGTGAATGAATCCGACAACGGATCTTATCGAATCCTATGGGATCCGACATCGGATTCGACTGTAGGCCCGTGTCCAGGAATCCCATAAAATTTCGTCGGTTTTACTGAAACACATATGGTATTCGGTATATTCACTGTCTGACCCTTGTCGGAATCCGATAGGATCCTACTGTCGGAAAGATTCTCCTTGGATATCACGACAAATATGATAGACATTATTTTTTAATCATTCCGATTACATACTTGACTCTCTTTACCACAGGCATCGAAAACACTAGTTGTTCACACAATTGCTAAAACATTCATTTAATTCTTCTACAGACGAAATTGATCGGCATTTTAGTTTATTCTCAGCAAGTTTATTTTAAACGAGATCCAACGGTTTAGAGAGTCATTCTAGAGTGTTTCAAGAATTTCATTCTAGGATTGCTAAAAGATCTTTCAATGTTTATAAACAATTCCTGAACAAAGTATTATGCTAATGAGAATACTAGAAAATTAAAACAATTTAATATTCTTACAATATCGTATCGTGTGTTACTCGAGTACGTTTGCATCGTACTTCTAATTTATTTCAGATCATAGTTATTAATTTATCTGCAGATGTTCTCGTAAAATTTTATGTATTTTCATAATTGTTAAGTCTAACCAATTCTAAACAAAAATATTTAATCGCCATTTGCTTTCAATGTTATGTTAAAATATGATGCCAAAATCGCAGTAAAGCACTTTTCTCTAAAAATCTGTTGAAGGTGTATACTGCTAACATAGCGACTAAGTTTTCATAGAAATACAATCATCGTTTTTTGGCTGTTGCACGAAATTCAATTGTTTTCTCAATAACTAACTTGAACTTCTAATCAATCATGTTTCAAAATTAGTTACTTACTAACCTATTAAGACTTTTAAGTCGTGCAATCATGATTTATTAAAATTCCTATGAATCGCTTGAAATAAAAACAAACAGTGAATAAAGTAGTTCTTCAGTGATTAACTACACTTTTCCTTAGTATCGAATAGCAATTAATTTCTTTTTGCATATATAAATTCATTAGCCGTTTAAGTAAATACTTTTTTGTTTGTTAATTATATGAAAACTTATTCAAACAAACCAAGCCATAGCTCCTTTGGGACTACAATGCAGAATTCACCAGAGCTATTTAGCTTCATTGTATTAATAAAAAACAAATATCCAACGTAAAATTCTGTGTCGCTCATATTTTTACTCGTACTATTTCTTTTCCTTTTTTGTACTCTATTTCATTCTATTGACGCTTATTGTGATCATCAGTCTGTTGTATATATCCATCATACAGCCAAGCGGTCTCAATTCACTATTAGATACGTCGATAAGGTTAACAATACTGATATTAATAGCTGTCGAAAGCAAGACAGTGATTGATTCAAGCTTTTTCATATCGATCATATGCCGACTGGAGCCAATCAATACATCATTTCCTATCATTCATGAAATCCTGAATGTAAATATCTATGCATTCGATAGTCGAAATGTTCACAAGATCATTCTTATAATGAAATTAAATAATCTAAGCTTTTTTTATTAATTATGTCAGTGAATATATGTTAGGTTTCTCTCGTAAGAGGAACGATATCAGATTCGATTCTATTCCAGACCAAAATGAATATTTTCTAAAAACGTGTCTACAAAACTAGCCAGAAAATTTTTTTCTAAGTGTATCTTTTTTCAAACATTCCGGCAGAGATAGATCCTTTCTTTCCGTTTCGAAAAGAAAATATTTTTCCTGTAACAATCTATTGGCATTATCAACAACAACAAAAACAAGACTGTCTTGTTATTCTCTCTACTTCGTGAATCAGTCTCATTCGACATCCAATGACCGAGATACTTGACATTCGAATCTTCTAATATAGTTGAATTTTTATCTTTAAAACTGTTCAGTAACTTTTCGATTTCTAGAAAGAAATCTATCATTACGACGGAAAAACTGTAATGAACTTGAAATTTTCACTGAACGTTTTCCGTCAATAGAGGATATGCTTACTATCGGGAGTAAAAACGACCAACACTTTATCGAACACATTCTAAACTAATTGATTGTACGTGCTTAGACCGAAATGACCAAACATTCTTCACAAAAATGTTGCTTTAATTCCCTGGATATAACAATGAACGCATGAATAGAAAGCGCTTGAATAATGCATAATTGAAAGTGTTCGACGAACTTAAGAAAAGCATTATAAATTAATATGCTACGCATTATTCCAGATGGAATACTAACTATTTTATTTTATAAATGTTTGACCTCAAGAAAGGCTTAAATAAACTATAAATGACACATGTTAAAAGCTAAAAAACCTATTCGAAACTAGCAGAACAATTGGTTGGGTATTTTCGTTTTTTAGACATATTTACATTCGCCGACACGACGTATACTCACAACAGATTGATTGTCGATATCGTATGTCTCTTCATATCGTTTGTTTACTTGCGCATTACGGTGAAATCTCATTTTAAATAAACCGAATACAACAACAAATTGTATCGGCGAGATTCTTATAAGTAACAAAATCAACACGATCATTTCCGATCGTTTAATATACTTTCGAAAACATGATCTACGATACCGATAATCATTTATTGTTTGACAGAGTCCAACAGTAACAAAGAGAAGACAAAAAAAGAATCTAATTTCACATTAAATTTAGCGCATCTATATTATTCATATTTAAACAGAAGCTTGATTAAAGGAAAAAAAACCAGCCATAACAAATATATGTGTAGACTATTTATAGTACAAAAAAAAACCATCATTCACTATTTTAAATACTGACAGATCGTGCACGACCACAAAGTAAATAAACAACCAAACCTAAATAAAATAAAATAGACTAGATTTACATTTATAATCGTTCTTACCAATAATAGGACAGAAGATAATGAACAAAATCCAAAGAAGTTTTTCAACTATTGATTTGTCTGAACGAAGAATTTCAATCGCAGCGATGATATCCAAAATTAGAATGATCTTTGAACAAAAGAAAGAAAATTTCGATTTTTGGAAACAAGAGAAAATTACTCATTTAAACTTACCAAACCAAGAATCCCACCAACTACTGGTCCAATATAAAAATCTCCTGCTGATACAAATTTTATACACGACAAAATTAGTACCGAAACAGTGGCGAAATTAATTAATAAACCCATCTTAACAGCAGTAACAGGAAAATGAAAACGAACTTTTTATCTAAAAATAATACCACACTATTAGAGAACGAAGCACCAAATAACATTTATATTCTTCGTTCTACAGCCCATAATTCTATACAAATGCACATCTGTTTGCTTCTCTACATCGAGTAATGGAGTGAAAAAGAATGTAAAGCATCATTCATTTTATATCTTCCTTCTCTCTTTTTTTTGCTGTTCTATTCTCTTCGCATACTTTGAAATGAACGGAAGTCATTTCGTACGTTTTCTCTCAGATATTTCTTTTTTTCTTCGATCTAAGAATACATTATTCTTACTCATTCTGCTGCTTAATAGTGACTCATCTGAAAATCATAAAGAAACTCGTGGTTGCGTACCGATACAGCTAAATTGTCACTGCGTCAATCTGTTGTTGTATCGGGTTCATTGAGCAAACGCATTTCGATACAATGATGGCGGAATACTCACTCAGCTATGATCAGGAAATTTCCGATAGAGGGAAGATATATGCAATATAAACGGATGTTCAGGATATCTCTGATAGCATTCAGCATTTAAAAAAATGTTGAAGTCTACGTCTCGAGCGATGAAGATAGAGTTTGAAAAATAGTGATTTCTTATAGATGTATGTGTAACTTGTTCGCTCCTCGTTTTACAAAAGTTATAGAAACAATTTTAATGCAAATATTCAACAGCCGACTAATTTGTCATTCACCAAAACGATAATGGATTATTCATTGATTATCACGAAAATGATTCATTTTGGCTTAACCGTTTTATGGCATAAATGCTTCTTTTCTTTTTTTTTCTTCTAATGTATTTATGACTAATATTTTGCAACTCGAGTAGGATTGTTGATTTCACTCGTGTTTTGTAACATATATTGTTCCCGTCAAATATGCATCACTGTGGTTGAATGTACTACTCATGGATTCTACTAGTAGGATATAAAACGAGTTCATATAAAATGAAAACCTATTCGTTCATAGGGAAAATACATTCAGAAATTATCGATGAAAGCGAGCATCTACATATTGACGTATAGTTCAATATTGAACGAATATTACCTGTGAAAATCCTCTTTCTACTTTAATTTATTTGTTATGATCCAAGATATGCTAAATGATATTTATGCAATCGCCGTCAGACATGAGGGTTCTACTCATAAAACATAATATGTATTCGTGACGGAAAATATCTTGCACTATGCATCTGTTAACTGCGCCGCATTCACAGCGTAATGGTTTTTACTGTAACTCAGGAACCTATTCAGATGATATCAAAGATTTTATGCATTCGTTATTGAAATGTACTGCATAGATTTTAATCTACTTTTGGCATAGTGCAACAGAACTCACCGAGTAAATACATCCCAAGCAGACAAACTTTTAGAAAAACGCAAGAGACGCGTTTTTACGCAGAATTTTCACTTTCAGAGCGTGAAAACGAATAAAAACTTCAATTCTGAGCGTTTAAACGCTGAGGATTGGAGTTTTTACCCGTTTTCACGCTCTGAAAGTGAGAATTCTACGTAAAAAACGCGTTTCTTGCGTTTCGTTACTGAGTGTTAATGACTCACAATCGCGGTTCTCGGTTGAGTATGTAAGCGCGTTTTCCCAAAAGTGTGTCTGCTTGGAATAAGGACAAATCTTCAATAATAATACCATTGTGAGTTTGTTTGTAGTAGTCTATGATTACTCCTATGTTGTACGGCAAGCTCCATTCAACCAAGGCAGAGAAATAAATTCTCAAAAAAATTCCCCTCATGATGACATAGCGCATATCCTATGCCTGTATACGTGTCATAAATAGATTATGCGTAAAGTTGGTTATTTTGATTGAAATGTACTTGCTACTTCCTTCCGTTCGTAGTATAATTATCATGTTTGAAGTAAAATCTAAACCATAGATTTTGAGCTAATCATAACAAAAATTCTATGTTATTAAATGAATAAAATTTGCGTTCGAACATGATGTTCATTTAAGACGTTCTTTTTCTGTTAATTCATACAGATTTTCTATGTAAATAAATCATAATAGATTTATTTGGATAATTAAAATAGTAATAAACCAGATAGCAGACTTAATAAAACTATCCATCGCAGTGTTTTTGAATATAGAAATAACTATTAATGTCAATATGTAACATTGATTATTGTATTTATTCTGCTCTAGAAATTGCCTAAGAAAAGTTACAATACATATCTTTCTCAGCATTTCCTTATCAGTATTAAACGATGAATTTATAGAGCGTGGACAAAGCGTGCATCAACGCCAATAAATATCGAATGTTTCATCATAACGATTCGTCGGTTATAAACTAATTAGATTTTTTTAATAATTAAGCACAAAATCAATATTACTCCTTATGATAAGTATAGCTCATTTCTATAAACAAGAAAGTATAGTATATCATAAAATTAATTATTTATTGAAAACAAACTTCTTACAAGATATAAAGCACACCTATCATTAGAATAGATAAGTTCGATGTATAAAGCAACAAATTCATCTGTCTATTTTCACATTTTTTTACCATAATTTCAAACTAATAATATTATTAGCAAATGGGTACTTTTGACGAACTCAATCAGTCCTTGTCGCCATGAAACACACATATTTCAATAAAATTATTCATGAATATATCGTTGTTGCATGTATTGTTGGTTTATCAAAATAGATTTTTATCAATTTTGTTTTTCTGCATATTCTAAGAATAGGTTACTTTCACGCTTGAATAGATTTCATGTTACATTTTATTCGGTAAAATTAATTATCTTCGTTGCGACATCTTGTATACTTGGATTATTGTTAATGAAAATATCTTGAGAATATTGTGATGAGTTTCTTTCATTCTAAGAAAAAAGAAAGGGAGGGAAGTGTCATCCGCCAATTTTTACAGCAGAGAATATTTTATTCAGGGGCCAGTCGATAAAACGTTCACATACAGTTCTATCAGGTATCGTTGTTTTTGTTTTATGAATATTTTCTAATATTGATTACAGTATATGGTTAATGTTAATATGATATCGACAGAGTGAGTCAGTTGATACTGTTGATTTCCTAAGAGGAATTAATTCTTCTTCTTTTTGTATTCTATTATGAAGCAGACACGGACCAACGTTTTCGTATTTAAATTCTTATAATTAGATGAGTATGATACTAAATTTTGTGAAACACAATCTGAAAGGAGTGCTGAAGTATATAGCGTAGAAATTTGGACTCATCCCCGCCCCACAGACCACTACAGAGAAATTAATTAATTAGATAATTAATTAATTGATTTTTTTCTCTGTAACGGTCTGTGATGATTTCCAGAGACTCCATACATCATAATACAGACTGTAACAGAGAATCTTCGCAGACTGTCACTGACTGTGATGGACGGATTCGAGAAAAGGAATTTCACCGTGTTTCACATTTTAATCCCATAGGGATTGCGCTAACAGCTTTTCAGGTATATATATATATATAATCCTGTTAATAGAAGAACATCCTAAAGAAACTTTTTTTTGTGATGCAAAAAGAAAGAGTTACACTAAGGATAAGATAAAAGAAAGTGTAAGAATAGAAATTGCAAAATTGCAAAATATAAAATGATTCTTATTAATTACAAATAGGAGGTGAGTTTAATAGTATAGAACTATTTTCACTTCTGATTTGTACCCATTTTTACATGTGAGTATTTGATTTCATCAAAAGAAAGTTTTCATTACGAGATTTTTGTTTCCACATATTTTTCTCAATGAGGAGAATCGTTTGTAACAGATAAAAGTACCGACTAGAGTTCAATGTCTTAGAAGTACACAACGATATGTTATCAAGAAAAATAAGCGCAAACGACTTCATTAATCGCAAATCTATTCACGGCGAGAATTATTTGTTGAGTACAGACAATACATGCTTTTTCTAGAAAATGATACTAACAAAAAAAAAATCTCGGTTAATAGCAAGGCTAAAAACAGAAAACTTACGAGGGAAGGCCACCAACTGTTTAATCGCTTTTGCGTTGAAACTATATGCATTATGTAGCTCCCAAGGAGTTATGGATACGCTGAAAATATTTTGAGTGGATAGCTTGATGCTACTGAACTCCCCCTCAGGAACCTTGAAAAAAATTGATTTTCGAATTTCAACTTGAAAATTTACATAGAAATATACATGAACGAGAACAGTGTTTCGTGACCGTTTCAGACCATTCTACTATTTCTATCATTACACACAGCTACTATGAAATTTTTATTTTACATCGTTTAAATAAGGTAGCAGATTTGATGAAACAAACAAATTCAATGACCAAAAACATTCACAAAACACTATTCTTGTTGAGATGTATTTCTGTGTAAATTTTCAAGTCGAAATTCAAAAATCAATTTTTTTCAAGGTTCCTGAGGGGGAGTCCAGGTACTCACTAAAAACCATACCTTTAATTTCAGCGTATACATAACCCCTTGGGAGCTACATAATGTAAATAGTTTCAACACAAAAGGGATTGAACAGTTGGCGACCCTCCGTCGTTAGTAGAATATTTACCTATTTAGAAAAGTTTCGATGTAAATATTTTAAATTGAAAAAAAAATTAGAAAATTTTTCTGAACGAGAAATAAAGTGTGAATCAAAGTTTGCGATTTTCATGAGACGTGAATTTTCAAGATTTTTTTTCTTTATTCGTTTGAAATTACCAATAAATTATATATCAAAGTCGTCTCGGTTTTTGTTCTTAATGTTTTTGCTGTGGAATATTAATTGACTTTTTACTCGTCGTTTTTCATTGTATAGAATCAAAGTATGATATCATTGTTTCTATTAGACATGCTCTAAGACATTTTGATTTCGAAAACTAGAGCAAGCATATGTTTTATGCCATTTTCTATCTTTAATCTATATTGATTAATAGTGGAAATGTTGAACAAGGAAACAACGAACCATTTCTGCTTCGGTACGCCAAAAAATCTGTATATTATGTTCAGCTGTCTTAGGAGAAACGTACGTTGACA